ATAATTATTTTTATTATTCGTAAGTATTTGATCATTAAAAAGTCATTATATTAAAACAAGCCAGCCAGTAGCCAGGGAATTCAAGGGGTTCTACAAATGCCATTTTTAATTATAATTAAAAAGTAGACCTACCATTTGCATGGAAGTTGTTGAAATTAACTAACACTTTTATTGCCATTTCATGACACCTGAGGTGTTGTATCTATAAAATTTACCCTAACCGTGATGGAGCTGAAATGGGTGTGGACTGAAAGTGCCCTTTAATGACAGCTTAAACCTCCCCTTTAGCAATTCTTCCTACTGTCCAGACATGTGATGAGGAAGATGATGACCATGATGTCATGATGACGATGTAAAAAAAAAAATTGTATAGCGTACACCTAAATAATTATAAAGGGGAAAAAATATTATGTGGGTGATAATGCTAGGCAATGGTTCACACAATATGGTGGCATAGACTGGAAGGCCACAAACCGTTTTCCTCATTAGGACAGCGTATATGGTTCTCAGACTACAGTGCCTTCATATTAATAATAATTCTATTATTTTGTAGGCATAATGCTATACAATTTTTTTTAATCTAGGGAAGTAATAACCATCAAGTATTCTTAATGATCTCTTATCTGTATTCTGAATAATCTCATAAATGTAATTTATTTTCAAAATGGCCAAAAACGCCTACTTAGGACTATTCCATTTATTGACAGGTGATGATGGGTTAATGACCCAGAAGATCTACAAGGTGATGTTTTCTTAATGTCTATAGTAATTCCCTCTTCAGGAGTGCAAGCAAACATAACCAGAGCTGAAGATGTAATATAATAGTGCAGGTATTTCAACATTAACCTATGGCTTGATCATGTCTCTTGTATCAACTCATCATCTGTAAATATTGGACATCTTGGCAAGGCATCACATTAAGATGGCACAAGGTGTGGTTTTGACCTTATTAATAGATTTAAAGTCAGTTACATTTAAATAAAATATATTATTGAATCACTGAACAAGGAAATAATAATTTTACAAGGATTAAGAAAATGGGAGTTGGGGAAACGTAGGAGGAAGTTTAAAAGGATAGATGGGAGAATACAAAGGGAGCAAGATTAAGAAGAGGAAAGTTGGGAGCAGAAAGAATGGCAGAAAGAAGAATGGAAGGGAAATGATTTGCAGGAGGAATATTATGATGGGTACAAAAAAACAAAAAATAGGAGGGAAAACTATGGGAGAGAGGATTTGGAAGATTAAGAGGAAATATTGAAAGGAAGCTGACGAGAGCAGTACTAGTTATAAGACTACATGATACTCTACATTGTTGAGAGGGATTATAGGATGGCTCTATGACTGGGTTAGGTTTGTAGATTGCTATACGGCGGGGTTAGGTTTGTAGGATACCTATATAGCCGAGTTAGATTTGTAGGATATCTGAGAGAATAAAATCATTAAGTTTGTATAGTAGGATAGTTGTAGGATAAGTTTAAGGTTTGTTAGTATGCCTATTGAGAATGCGATAATCATTGAAGAAACTGTGGAAGATACAGAATCTATGTCATTTGAACCTCTCCCAATCAATCCTCCCTTCATCCTCAATTCTTGTCAATATAAAGTGGCTTTAAAAAGTAGGTCAGGCATCGATATTAACTAGCTACTGAAAAAAAAAAATTAAGTTGATGTTGAACTTTAATGGGTTTTCTCTATAGTTTATTTTCCCATCAAATCTGTAATCACTTGAGCTAATGCTATAATACCAACTGGTCATCTAGTGGTCAGTTTGCCACACCACTTGAAAAGGACTATGGCCTTTACATTCAATAAATGCAACTAATTGATAAACACTGGAGAAGCAATACGATACTGAATGGACAGAAGTGGAGAAAAGAAAATACACTGAATACAAACAATTGGTGTTGTTACACAGTATATAATGGAGTGTAAAATTATTGACCTAAATTAGTTGGTTAGTTTCATATTCTGTTGAATAGAAGTCCCAAAATGCAGAGTCCAGCCATACAAAGAGTTTTTTGAAACAAAAATGACACAGGTGGTAATTTTAATACACTGACCAACTTGGAGAGGATACACTATCAGAGGCAAGATCTCCCAAATTATGCTGACATTATTTAAGAAGGATACAATTAGCAAATAAATACAAAATCTGCTAGCAATGATGAGGATAGATATTGGGAGAAATGGGTTCGGTATTGCTAATTCCAGCCAGCCTGGGTGATGCACAACCTTCAGTGGATCAACTGATTTTATTTTTCTGAGCAATAAGAACTATCTGCATTGATTTGTGATCTATAGCTAGAATTGACGAATTAGACTTTAAAATTAATTAAAAAGTAAATTACATTTCAGTCATTTCAACCATTTTTTAAGTTTAACTATCAAATGTCTTAAAACTTTCTTCTTGTGTTTGTTAAGCTATCGCTGTAGTTTTAAATAACCACTCTAAAATCATTCATCCATATTCCTAAAATCGACTTCCCTTTAATGATGTAAGATGCTTTTATTAGTTCTCTATCTCCTAATGTGTTTATACTTCTGTACCACTTTGAAAACGAGTACATTGCCTGCAGTATAAAGAATAAATAAATAGAAATAGGTTATCCCATCGTACAGTTACTTTAAGTTGTTCTCTGAATTGAAGCGTTCAATTTAATGTAGTTGCCATACCAACTAATGTTTAGGATATTACGGTAATTGCTCAATAAGATACACATTGTGCCATAAATTGGATGGGTATGTTGTCATAAATGTCAATTTAATTGTTCTTGTAAATATTTATAAGCTCAATTGTATTTTTGTATTGTAACTTACTTCCTACTTACTTTAATATTCAATTGATACATTATATTATTTTATATTATATTGTATTATTTATAATATTAAAAAATAGAAATACTGTATCTTAAATGATTGAATTTTAGAAATTATTTTTTTTTTAGATTAAAAAGTAATAAAAGGGATAAAGTTCAATGAAATATTAATAATCTTCATATAAAATAATATAATATACAATTTACAATGTTACCAATCTTTATTAAATAAAATTTACTGAAACTAGTCAAACTGACTAATTTTCCAAATTCTTATAAATTGCAAGTTTCTTTTGCATAATTCATAAAATTTTGCAAATCAAGTTTCCTCTTCATGATTAATATCTTATCTAATGAAATCAAGCATCTTCGGAAAAAGTTTCACCAAGGAATATCATTTTCATCTAAAACAACATCACGTACATTACCTACAGGTTCCAATTACTCAAACGACTAAACAGCATAAAGGCTGATCCATCAATTGCATTTTTAATTTGCTTTACACATTTCAATCACAAAAACATCAAGGCACCCAACGCACACAAGCCGCTACACGCCACCGACAGTGAACTCTAATATATTGCTATAAAGGGACTAATCGCTTGATTGTAAATGCGGTAGCAAGTTTATCTCTTGGGAGAAACTTGACCATAAAAATGCAAAATATATTATCAATAGTTTTATTCTATCATTCTAATCAATAAGAAAATTATTTTGAAATGAAGACAGTGTGGAAAATTCAGTGTAATTAAACTTCTTGTGGTTTGCTTGTTTATTATTTAAAAATCATTTAAATATGTTAATATTTGGATATTCTACAGAATGTATGGGCATTATATACTAGGGTTTAATATCTACAGTATTATTCTCTGGTCCAAAACTTCTTAACAACAAATTAGAAATAGGAATAGGATGTCAAATATATATAAACCATCATTTGATATTAGTAATAGGATGTTTTTTTTTTTTTTCAATAAAATTAAAAATAAACTATAGTAGTATTCTATTCTGATGATTTACAGTATGAATTCTGTAAATTGAAAAATACAGCCTCAATCAAATTTAAGATCATCTCTCAAAAGATATTGTAAACAAACCTATTTCTAGAGGTCATTAAAATATAAAATTAAACAAATCACTTAATAATATTTAGCAAAGATAATGAAATATTGATAATGAAATTAAAACATATTTATTTTGAACATATAAGAAACTCTCTCCCCCAATTGACCACAAAAAAGGATCATTAGAGCCATTAATGTAATTTAAAATAAAATAATATAAAATTATAAAATGTTACGATTTGGGTCTGAAAAATAAAACCTTTGGTTAGAATTTTCTCAACAGCAATGCTTACAATAAAAAAAAAAAAAATTCAATCATGTAAAATTATTTTTTAAAATAATAAATTGGTCACGGACTACTACACAGATGAGTGCATTCGTTCATCTCCTATCTTGTCCTTTTGGCCCCGCTGACCGTTAAAACATCATCTGAGATTCGCAGTGACATTTACATTCTTGATAACTGACACTCATCAGGATTAACATGCTTTAATGGCTTCACGGATCTATGTTTAACATAATTGCGATAGCATTATGTACACAAGCAAAAGTGTTAAAAATACATGCAGGCCAGTGCTTACTACTACACACGTTTCTGCACAAGAATAATCATATATATCCTACAAGAAAACTCGTTCCTGGATTGGGAAGGGAGAAACAATTAATACTATTGCCCATATGGTATAATTCACCTCTGGTATAAGTGTTTCCCAGGTATAAGACCACACCTATATTTTTAGTAATTTTCATACAAATTGATACCAACCCAACCCTTTTATTCCTGAGAAACAAAAACTCTGGTTCAAAGAAAGTTCAGCCAACCAACCTAAACTAAATTTTTATATAACAAGGGGATGAATTTAAATTCCTACAGTAACTGTAGAAAGATTTTTTAGAAAGTTGTATTTTCTAAAATTCTTGAGACATTAAAAATCAATAAATAAATAAATTGCTATGTATCAACCATATGTTAATTTTGTACTGAATATTTTGGTACCTAGATTCATTAAAAAACAAAAAAAAAACAAAAAAAAAAACAAAAAAAAAAACAAACTACGTACTGTAATACTGTAATGTTAAAAATACATAGGTCTGCCACAATGGTGTGGCCGGTTCTTACCTGCTATCGTCATCTGTCGTACCACAGTAGCTCGTAGATTCAATATCACTACTCATTAACGTTGATGAACTCTCGTACCCATGCCCACTTCTATGATGGTCACGTTTTGTACGTGTAACTAATGAAGAAAAAAAAAAACATTTACAGGATTAGTTGCGCTAGACATGGAGAGACCATGGAGTATAGCTTTAGCCCAAGATCTAACTGTAGGCTTCCCAAAGTGTAGAATTTTACTTAAAACTGCTAAGTTACTGTAGGGGATGAGCATCCAGAAAATTTGCATGGAAAACATTCAAAACTTAAGGATGTTGGATTATACCTGGTGGGCAATGCCGTCCCAGGATTTTTAAACAGTGCGGGACAATATCAGGGCGGACACACTTTACGTGTAAATTCAAACAATGTGGACCCATTTTATGCAAAAATATGAAAAATCTGGACCCATTTTCTTAAATTTTACCTAATTTTAAGATAAATTTAAGAAATCTGGACCCATTTTTCATAAAGTGGACCCATTTCATGCATAAAATTACATAGCTTGGACCAATTTTGAAAAATGTGGACCCGTTCTTTGTGGACCCATTAGAAAAATTGTGTGGGACTGTCCCAACAGCTGGCCACGGCATTACTGGTGGGCTTAACTCTAGGAACTATGGAACCAAGAACATCACAATAACAAATGATAATTAAGTTAACAAAAGGACATTCAGATAAATCAATCTTTTTCATTATACAGAGGTAGTGCAAAGATAATAACATTAATGAGAACATCGCCATAACACTGTAATTTGAGTCACCGAAGTGAAATGGAAGTGCAGTAGCCATCACTTTCTTTCAAATCATCTCAGATTAAAAAGTAACCACATCTTCATTCTGCTTGCACTCACAAGAAATTAAAAATTCAAATGAAGCACTGCTGGTTTCTAAATACAGCCCTATGAATCTAATTAATACATACTTAGCAAGAATCTAAATCCTACCAATTTGATTTGTCAGTTTAAAACCGATCATAAATCTGGCATCGCTACCCACAAATACACTTACTTTAATCCAACAATAATGATATTCAAACAATCTTCAGATTTATGTCAAGATAAGAAAGAAGATTTCTTGCTCAAAATGCATATAAGATTAACAAAACAGGTTTTAAATAGAAAACTAAAGCTTATCCACCAAGATGATCAAACACAAGATTATCATTAGCTGGTAAAACAAATGTCTCTTTATCTTTATGAAGATCGGGAAAGTGAGTGTTAGAGATTTAATACCCAGAATGCACCTTGTGTTTAATCCACTCCCATCTATCTAAACACTGGTTTCATTAATGTATGTTTGGCATGTCAAGAGGAGTGCTAATGAAGATCCAGGCAACTCATCAACGACACGATCTAAGTACATTATGTTTGAAAACAATGCACGGATATTTGCGATACTTGCCCAAAACGTTGCATCATGGGAAGGGAGCAACTGCAAGGAATTAGATTAAACATGAGAATATAAGAAAATTAAAACTATTTTTTAGTTTAAAGTTAAATATTAGAGTGGTTATACAGTAATAGAAACACTGACTAAAATGGGCCCTTGTAAAATTTAGAAACAATTCTTTTAGTGGGCACTACAATCACAAGGTACTCTATCACTAAAATACCAATACATATTTTCACATGATACTAAAAGCCTAGAATGAAATACTAATGTATAATAATGGTACAAGCAACAGCACCTTAAGTCTACTTATGTCAATGATTGATGGTGGTCACTGGCGGATTTAGAGGGGGTCGCAAGGGGCCCCCTTCTATTTTTTTTGTAAAAAATTGTTTTGTAAAGCTTATCAGAAAATTACCATGCTAAATATTAACAATCAATCAAATATCAACTCAAATTAATGAAGGTGCTAGAGGTTTAAGAGAGAATCTCCCCTTGCACCCCTACCAGGGGCTCTTTCCTGAGACTGTCGCTTACTGTAGTTCGGACATTCACGCCCCCTCTTCCTTACCAGGCTGGATCCGCCCCTGGTGGTGATAATGATGATAATGATAAATGATTATCATTATGTGGTGACCAGTGGATGATGACAACATAATACATAATATAAATCTATTTATAAAAGTTTTCCTAAAATTAATAATAATAAAGAATATTGGTAATATCAGAGCAACATAACATTTTAATTCAAAGAAATATCACAGGCGCCAGTTGAACATTAATCCAGACTAAAAGCTTATTCGTAAATAAATATTTTGTTTAAATTCTTTTTCAAGAACAAAACTGAATTTATGGACTGTCTAACAAAAATGGGTAATTGATTCCAAAGGGGCCTGAACAGAAAAATAACACTGACCATGTTAAATATGTACTGTACTCTTCTAATTATGCTCATAATTCAATGCAATGTCCATAATGCTGACCATGTTTTACATTTGTTTTTTTAAGAGTAGGAACTTTCAGGTTTTTATCAGTGGAATGATGTGCACAAGAAGGAACACACCTTAACCGAAGATACCCTAAAAAATATGAAGAAAAAAATTCCCTGGTGTTTACCTTTAAGAGAATAACAATAATGATGATGGTGGTCTACAATGTGGTGAGGGCAATATTAATGTACAAATATTATAAGATTATAAATCAATTTTAATTGATATTATAAAAATTGAATTGTTGTCTGGCTTGAACTTTAATGCACTAACAGGGTGATAAAGACTTCCAATACAATGGGGCAAAAGGGTTCACTTTTAGTTCTCAAGCCACTAAACATGTTGAGGAAATATTAAAAGTTGTTGAAAGCTCATAAATTTAAGTGAAAGCATCAGTAATAAACCATCTAATTTTGCAGGACTTGGTTTAGGCTAAGTGACATTGATTTAGAAGCATCAAACACCCAGCAAGAGGGATTCAATTTTTCCCTGGAGGATTTACTCAAACACTTGGGTACCTCTGGGCCTACTTCATGATTCTTCCTAAACAACAATTGCAAATGAAACTTCCCAGAATACAATGTGTAGGTCAGGCTAAGGCCAGGGTCATGGTTCATAATGAATCAAAGATAGTAATAATAGTACAGAAAAAATTCACTTAAAATGGAATAAAGCCTAACCTACTGACCCATCAATTTTATTATAATTCTAAATTATAGATACAGGTATGTAAGCTGCTACAGGGCTCCCCTTCCTTATGGCAAATCGAAACACCAAGCTGTATTAAGGCAGCTTTAACATCAGCTGTTGTTCAGGACCCTCCTCATCAATGGTTCAGTTGTTAGAATTAAACACTTATCCGATATAAAGGACTTTCGGAAGAGTAGAGAGTGAACACTATTTTGTTGGTTCATTTGTAGGTTTAACTGCATTACAGTAAGTTCAACATCAATAACATTTAAAGTATGTTATTTATCATAAAAGCATTGAAGGTAAGAACAAATAAAATTTACACAAAAGTATTTCTGTCTAAAAATATATCTTCTGTATTCCACGTTTTCCATTATACTTATTATTGGTCCCAGCCTAGGAGAAACAGTAATAGCAAGTAAGTAATAAATACTACTAGGGCCATGTAGACCCTTAACCTGATCAGTACCATCTGATTTACACTAGCCTACAGTACAGTAGACACACACAGAGTTTGGACATTTTGACTAGCACATCAAACCTTGATAAGCATCCAGGCAGCCAAAACACTGCATGTTATTTATTTGCCATCCAATCTGCTACAAAGTGTTAGATTAAAGTTGAAGAATCAATAATGTAATATAAAAAAGAGCGTGTGATAAAATCAGCTTCCTTTTTAACAAAAGTATGTTCATGAAATCACAAAAAAATAGGAAGAAAAGGGAGATTTTTTACGGAGATAATTGAAACTTGGAAGAAAACAATATAGGAAGTTGGACAACTTACTATGGAATAATCAATTATACTTTTTTTTAAAACTAATTCATTGACAACCTAATCGCACCCAGACAACAGGCAATAAATCTAATCTCTTATGGAGCGCATGCCACATTTAACCAAAACTTTTTCTCAATTGTTAAACTAAAAACAATACTCCATTGAAACCATTGTGTAGTTATGTATTCTTTAGTTGCTAATTTGCAGCAGAAAATTCAACAAGACAGTGTACACATTGTTTTCTTGTCTGCAGGATAATGGCGGTCTAGTCGCATGTACGACTGTAAACAAGTGCATTGGCGCTCAGACAAGGGCCTAAACAAAAGTTACAAAATCAGGCAGAAAGTTTCAACTTTCCGCATGGTAACACTTAACCATAATGACGACCATAAGCTGGACTGAGACTCCCAGTGAATTAAAAGGAAATACCTTAATCACTGGAGCTGTAATTAATGCTGAATCAAGTTCACCATTATTATCCCCATCTTGTTTCTATAGAGTATTCCACAATTAGATCTTTTAAAAGTGGTGTATATTTTCAGTCCTTCATCAACCAATAAGAAATAAATTAGAAGCATGAGTAGGTTTTATCTTAAGATTACTTTTAAAAGTCCAGTAATCAGATATCTAAGGAAATAAAAATGCCAAATGCAAAGAATGTTTTACTCCTAAACATATTATTGGTGTATTAATTAAATATTTTAAATGTAATTAGATTTTTCCCTTTAAAATATCTTTAATCTTCAAAAGAAATTTTAAAACTTTTACAGTATCAATTACAGTTTTTGACAATTTTATGAGATGGGATGCGAAAGGAGAGGTTACATTAAAGATGGGAGTCGGAAATTTACTGGTTATCTGATTTTTCATACAGGGCACATCTTTATCAATAAAGTAAAAAGCGCAGGATTTTAATTATTATATGGAATTTTCTAAGAACATCCATTATTACTCAAAACAGGTTTTTCCAAATTATTAGATGTATTTCAGTACATTTCTAATTTACAGATGTAAAAACAGGAGCCAACAAGTCTACGAGACATGGAATATTAATTCCATTTCCCACCAAATAAAAACATCAGCAATTACAAATAAGTGAAAGTTATAATTTTGACAAATTACTCAAATCTCATAAATCTATTGTCATATTACAATCAGCTCACCAGGAGTTCAATGCAAGTGGCTGACTCTGGGCTAGGCCCCACTGAGAGGGTGGTATAGACCAAGACCTTCCAGGCCTCGATGGCACAGAGCTGAGAGTACACGCCGGCCCAGGAGCAGTCTAAAACAACATGATATGATTACCAAAAACATTGACCTGCTGGTTCCCGAAATTGATCCCGTCGATTAACTTTCAGGTGGTACATAGAGTTAGCGTAATCATAACGTTTATGCCACGACATAATTAGCTGGAATCATACAGTGAGAATTAAAAGTGCGAACTAGAGATGAAACGTGGAAGCTCTTTCGATGATTCTCACGATCTAAAAACAGATATTTAAAGTTATGGAGCCAGCTTTATCTTTGGTATTTTACACACTGAATTCCAGTAACATTATTATTATTATTCTTATTATTGTCATTTTTCCTGAGGCTAGCTTCCTGTGGTTACTAAACAACATTGCTTTCTTTACTTCCTTGGTGGGAAACAACCACAAGATATCCTTCACACAAACAAAAATATTTAAATTACACAAAAAAAGATCAATCAAAATACAAAGTGACAATATCATGTTAAACGATTAATTTATAAAATTCTCTTTTCCACCTTTGCTATATAGCATTATTCTCATGCATCTTCTTTCCTGATTTTTTCCTTTTTTAAAGTTTATAACAAATATTATAATATACCTTCAAAACCTTTACTACTGAAGCCGACACATCAATAAAATATCCCTCCTAATATCAAAATACCTTTTATAAATCTCTCTAATACTATAGGTAAAAATACATACGTTCATTTGCAAACATATACAGTCGCAAGGCTTCCTTCTGTGCTGTGACATTCGACTTGGTGGGGTAACACTTGCTGGAGCGGGAGAACAAGACCGACGGTAAGCACAAGCACTCGGGTGTCCGAAACTCAATGTTTCCCATGTGTGAATATCACACGTTGACAAAACACGCACGGAATCAAGAAGTCAAAATAACATTGTATTTTCACGCAATGTACCCATACACTACGACAATTTCCATGTTGTTTCAAAATTGCAGTTTCTTCTATTTCCATGGACAATCTTCAAAATTGATTCACGCATTATGTAAAATATGAGTTTTCCTGATGATAATTTATGCGGAAAACTTTAACGGATAATGGATCATTCCAGAGTTTAATCCAAAATCCAGAGCACTGACATCTTTTAATGTTCAATTCCTCTTACAACAACCGCAGGAACATACATTACTGTCGAGAATTACCAATAAAATGGGAGTTGCAAAAATATAATACTCCAAAGGAATTTATATGTTGACAAGAAGACAGCATGATCATATTGGAAATCTTCGTCGGAAGTCTGCGATGCGGAATTACACCTTTGTTAATCCCTATGCATGTGTAGATCTTTATCTATGCATATGATTTTCATTGATACCTGCTTGAATTATTGTCGCTCTGCTTCAGTGAGTGGATCATCTAGTAGAAATGCTGGTCTCTGCAATACTATCTGCTAGCTTAGGAAGATCAACGCTTCATTAGTTTTCACTACAAAAGCTACCAAGTTTAGCATAAAAGCAAAAAGAAAAACCTCTTATCGGTGTACAGTACTGAATTGAGATCCTATGTCAAATATTGACTCAGTTTGATATCTGGTACTTTTAAGTATCAATCATCCAACAAATCAATCAATCACTCAGGAAATCAACCACAATATTAACTTGTTCCACAAAAATCTAGGACATTGTAACTCAGGATATTATTATCATAGTGCTGTGAAATAGAATTTCAAATGACACATGAATGAGAAAACTAGCTGCTGTCTGCTACTTCTGCACATGCTCAGATTAGGTCAACTTTGATTGATATATTTATGCCCTCAACCTTGGGCTGTCACCTTGCTTTCTGGAAGTACTGAAATAATTGGTTTCACAAGCAGGAGTCAGCACAAAATAAAGTACAATCCAAAATCAACAAAATTTAAGAAAATACGTTAACCCTGATCAGCAGAAGCAATAACAATGTACTCGTAAAACATTCAGTTCAGTAATAGAAAGAACTGTCAGGCCAAAGTGTCTTCAAAAGCTATATCATGTCTGGCCATCCCAAGCTTTCCATAACAGGTATCATTATAGCTTTCATCAGAATTTGAATGATTTAATGATTAGATAAAAATCCAATGATGATTGGATTGTATTAAAATTACAGTAAACTTTGGATTTTAAAATCTTCAAATGGATCACAAGTTTTTAAATTTCAATTCTTTAGAAATTCTTTTTCACCTCAACAATAGTTCATATCTAGCTAATACTTTTATTTAAAAAGTTAAATGGTAAAGATTAATTTCTAAAATTATCATAAAATATATTCTTTTTTATATGAGACGTATAGATAGTTACATATACAGTATATCCTTTTTTTAAAATAAGATGAAGATTCTTCAGGACTTTTTCAAAATGTCTCATAAAATTTAATTACAAAACAGATTTATTCTTGTCCCTTCAGACAAGTGTATGTATTCCATTTAGAATGGATTTTTTTTTTTTTCAATTCAACATGATTTTTTGAAAATGAAATTTTTACAAATGCCTCACAGCAGCATATGAATTGAAACCTGACTAGATATTTTAACTTCTGGGGGTAAAACGTCTTCCACAGAATGTTCTCATCATATTTGAAATGTTGATGTTGGCAGACACTTCTGGTTTAGGTTACAGACACTGATTGATTCTTAAATAAATATGTACTTCAACTTGCCAGGTTTTATCTAAAACACAAGTAGAACATACTTTTTTCAGTTACACACATTCATCAAAATATGCAAATTTTGTTTGCTGACTTTGTCTATCATTAGCAGATGCCCATGTTCATTTCATCAATCTCATCAGTATTATTTTTTTCAATATGAAAAAAAAAAACGTTTAGTGACTTCTACACATGGTTTCTTGGAACTTGTCAATAGCATAGCAACTTGTTTCGGAAGACAACAGTATTTAGTGGAATTTCACACCACCTGTTCCACTTTGCAACATTTTCGGTGAATATATTCCTATTCTTCACTAATTAATCACAAGATGAGTACTGGTAGAGTCAGTTCACAGACAAATCTGGACAGCAGATTTTTTACCTTGGGAAGACCTGAGCCTCTTCATTTTTATAAGAAAACTGACTTCTCCTTTTCTCACTCAATCAGCCAATCAAACTGCAGAGAACCTTTCGTTAAGTTTTATTGACAGATTTAATAATCAGGCCCATTATCAAAGCCTTTGTCGCTGATTGTACAATCAATCGAAGTTTATTGTGCAATCAATTAAAGATATGATTGTTGACGAGCATAGGCTGGGACATGTTATTTGGCAAATCTCTCCAGGTATCCTCTTAATCTGGTTAACACTGTCATCACTTCTTTTGTCTCCAGAAAATATACAATTCACTAATTACAGGAGGCCTCAGCTTTCCATCTCATCCTATCAATGACAGGTCTAGGGGTGGTCTAAAATGCTCCTGACAGGCGAGTCCACATCAGGCTAGAAAAAGTACTCTTCTAGCCTTGGTTACGAGTCTCAGTTACAGAATTCTCTTGTATACAGTGTCAGGAGCCAGACTAATATATTGCACTTGAATATTAATTGGAAATCATGGACAGATGTTTGTAGGCTTGGCTGAGGAATATTAGCTAGCAAAAACTGGGTAAAAAAAATTGCTGTAAGGTTGATTTAATAATATGGACTTAAATATTACTAAAATATAATAGTTAAGTCCTACTGGTTACAAAGCTTAGCTTTACTCTGCTCAAGTTTACAAAACATTGTTGAGCCTGAGGCTTGGCCATAATCAATTAAAGTTGTGTTACTTAGGAAACTGGTAAGCTCAAAATTAGGAAATAATACAAAATAAACAAAAACATGTAAACAAACATGAAAAAATAAATATAACCATATATATTTGACCACACTGAAGATCATAATATAATTATATAGAGTACGAGGGAAGGGTAGGAGAGGAAAGAAATTGAGAGACAAGTTGGCAAGACAATCCACAGCAAACTCGTTAAAAATGTAGTGATGGCGAGTTTTAAAATTAAAAAATGCGATGCCAAAATACCATAATATAAAGGAAAATGAGTTTGACAAATTGAAAATACCATAGTATGATACAGTATTTGGTCAATAACAATTTTTTTTTTTTCAGTTGAGGGTTCTAAAAAAGAAGCAGAGGGCACGTTACTTATTACAACATATTTGAAGTAGGACAGAGCATAAGTACATCATTTTGCCAGTTCTTTATTTTATGTGAGTCATAATTCGATGTGGGCAGGGATGGGAACAACTTCATTTTTTTTGGATTGTCTTGGTACTTCCTCCAACAAACTAGATATCATCATGGTATCTTTCCAATGCTTAATGTGAGTTATAAAATTTCCTTCAGTGTCAAATGCTATTTATATGATGGTAAATTTTGGGAAATACTTGCAGTGAAGTGGAAAGGGACTTAAATGATAGTAAAGATGATAAACAATGGTTTAGAGAAGTCAGGCAATAAATAGAAAAAATAATTTGTAATTGAAATGTGACAAGCAAGTGAATAATATGTGAAATCAGCACATGTGCGATGTTTATGAATGAAAAGGTGCGTTATTGATACAAACAAATTTTATAGATCAGAACACAAAACCTAGGTGTTTTAAAGAGCAAATCATATAAAGTGCAGAAAGTATTGAAAGCAAAAAACATATCAAAAACATGCAAATGAAAACTGGGAAGAAATTAGCAAAGTAAAACAGAACACAAGAGGGCACTCTCATGGAAAGCCGTGCAGGAAAGATGTTCAATATGGCAATGTGTTGTCAACTTACAATCATCGCCATGACGATCTCGCCTTGAGCTCCCTCTTCTATCTATAAGTAATGCAAGTTGATGAAAGTGCATTAAAATAATTGCAAGCATTACATTAATGGAAGAAAATACAATTTTGCCATAACACACAAGCATTTAAATAATAAAAATTCTATTAAAATAAAACAGGAAAAAAAATAAGTGCATTAAAGAAACTATATTATAAACAAAAAAAAACATGTGATTTTATTTTTCATTACAAAATCATATAAAAAGTGAGCATTTTGAATCAGCAATGTGCCGAGAATGTTGTTTCATTTTAAGTGTTATTTTTCTAAAATGATTTATTCTAAGCGTACCTTTACTATTCGCAATGTAACAAAGTATAATACTTGCTTATTGATCCACACACCAAAAATTAAATACAATGGTCTCTTAAATAGTGGAACATATTTTTTAACATTGACAGCCTTTGAACAATAAAATATTATACAATAGACATCATGTGGTAAAAACCAAATCAACTGTACCGCCCTCTACAGGCTGTACTGGCAGTGAACTCCAGCATAGATGGAGGGATAACCTTGGAAAGTTTCTTTCAAGGTGAAAAATCTTAAGAAATGCTATGGAAAGCTTAATACTATTGACCCTTTAATTACTGTTAACCATTGAAATGCTAATTGTGCAGCAGAATATAGTATTCTGGTGCATATACTATGAGTGTAATGAAGATTATACCTGACTTAGATAAGAAATCACTACGGTGGAGTAATTTTAAGAAAAACAACGGTACTTCTAACATAATTTGGTCGAAAACATAATACCATAATTATAATAAAAAATTATGAAATACAAAAATGATAATGAAAGATATTATATGAAAAAGAATGAATGAAGATAATATAATTTAAGATGATGATCATAAAAATAAAAATGAAGATGGAGAAAAATAAAGAGGAAAGATGACAGGATAAGGATGACATTGAAGAAAACTGAGGATGACAATAACATTAAGATGATAAATATGAAGATGGCAAAATAAAGATGAATAAAAAGATGTGAATAATAAAGATAAAAACGATAAAAAAGGGTTACAAAAATGATGATCAATCTTATTGAAAATATAATTATAAATAATAATAATGATACTAACAATAATAATGAGAGACAAATAATGTTAGAGGACATAATGATGATAGATAGCAATAATAATTTTGGTAATATTTGAGTGTATACTGATGATGATAATGATGATGATTAATATGATGTTGATCATGATGATTACTATGATCATGATTAAGAATGACCAATGAAGATAAAGGTCAAATCATTTTAGGTAAAGATACGAAATACAGATGAAATAACAGTAGGACCTATAAGCACTGTATTATCACTATAATACCAATACAAAAAATAATATAATACATTACATTTGTCTGTTTTATAAGCAAATACTAGTCTACTAATTAACAGATCTTCAAATTAATAACCAGATGCTGTACTAAGATAGTGGCAAACTTCTACTGAAAATTTCACTGTCAAATCCTTGTACTGTACATAATAAAATAGCATTATACTTGTTAATATTGAATTTGACCTTGACAAATAAAAGAACATTAACAATTGCAGATATGAAGGTCATTGTAGCTGTTCAACATGGATACAGAATTCATATAATTTATGAGTGTGTTACAGTAGATTTACAGAGAGTTAGCGTGAATACGCACAGTTTAGCCAGTCTTCACGAACATGTCTTGCACCAAGAGATTTCATTGCTAATAAATAGCATTACACTTGTTAATATTAAATTTGACCTTGACAAATAAAAGAACACTAACAATTGCAGATATGAAGGTCATCGTAGCTGTTGAACATGAATACAGTATTCGTATAATTAATGAATGTGTTAGATTTACAGAGAGTTAGTGTGAAT